ACTGGGGGGATCTCCACATACCCCTTAGCCACCCCGCCATCGAGGGCAGTGAGGACAGAAGAAGCACTAGCTCTGTTTCGGGCAGAAAAAGGTGCCCTCCAAGATCTAGTAACTTCTTCATGCACTTCCGGGAAGAATGGAACCGGAGGTGGCTGCCAACGATCGGCCTGCGGCACCCCCAGGAACCAATCATCCAACCTCGAGCATTCGGGAGACGCTCTCGGTGGCCCGGGAAAGCATAGCAGTCAGCTCTGGATCTGACTCGGGCAATGCCACTCTTCCTGACGGAGGCAGCACAGCCGAGTCCTCATCTCCAGAGCCTAGCTCGTCCCCTGATGCAGTGATCGACATCCTGTCATCTGCCGGAGGCCTGAATGAGATGCTAGACCCCGCCCTGTCCGGGGTCTCAGCCACCTCATCGCGGAACACCAGAGGGTGCGATGTGCTGGAGGAGTGACGGGCCCGTGGAGACGCAAAAGATTCTCCACCCGGCCCTTCTCCGGGGGAAGGAGTGGTGCGGTCACCATCTCCTGAAGAGCAGGATCCAGAGTCTCCGGGTCGCCCGTCTCAGGAACGCCGCTTGCTCTGGCACTTTACGGGCCTGGCAGGGGCAGAGACAGGCTGTGCCGCTTTCCTGCTGCCAGCTCCACGCTGTGGCCGGTGTGAAGGCTGCTGCTGAGGCCGAGCTGGAGCGGAGGTGACGAGCGGGCGGAGGGACTGCAGCCGGCGGCGGGGTGATGACAGCAGCGGGCCGCCGGGGCATGATGTGTCTGATCACCTCCGTCTGCTTCTGTAGGAACTGCTGGGCAAAGCTCTCCACCGCATCGCCGAAGAGGCCAGCCTGAGAGATTGGGAAGTCCAGGAAACGGTGTTTGTCGGCCTTCCTCATATCTGCCAGGTTCAGATATAGGTGTCGTTCCTGGACCACCAGGGTGGACATCGTCTGACCGAGGGACCGCACCATGAATTTTGTCGCCCGGAGGGCGAGGTCCGTTGCCGTGCGTAGTTCCTGCATACCCAGCCATGCGGCGGCGCTTTGCAGGCAGAGCTGCATCGCAATAGCACGCTCAACTGGGGGGATCTCCACATACCCCTTAACCGCCCCGCCATCGAGGGCAGTGAGGACGGAAGAAACACTAACTCTGTTTCTGGGCAGAAAAAGGTGCCCTCCAAGATCTAGTAACTTCTTCATGCACTTCCGGGAAGAATGGAACCGGAGGTGGCTGCCAACGATCGGCCTGCGGCACCCCCAGGAACCAATCATCCAACCTCGAGCATTCGGGAGACGCTCTCGGTGGCCCGGGAAAGCATAGCAGTCAGCTCTGGATCTGACTCGGGCAATGCCACTCTTCCTGACGGAGGCAGCACAGCCGAGTCCTCATCTCCAGAGCCTAGCTCGTCCCCTGATGCAGTGATCGACATCCTGTCATCTGCCGGAGGCCTGAATGAGATGCTAGACCCCGCCCTGTCCGGGGTCTCAGCCACCTCATCGCGGAACACCAGAGGGTGCGATGTGCTGGAGGAGTGAGGGGCCCGCGGAGACGCACTCGACAGGAAGCCCTCACTGTGATCCTCAGATCACCCTGGCCATACGCCGAAGTAATCCTCCGCTGCTGGGAGGAACTAGAACGGGGCATGGGGAGGGGGACTCCTCCTCGTTTAATGAAGAGGAGCCTCGATCGCAACATCGCGATGGTCATGTCCCCACAATGAGAACATCAGTCATCCACGAGCGCTGCCTCAGCGTGCTCAATGCCCAGGCATGAGATGCAGCGATCGTGACCATCAGATGGAGCCAGGAAGCGATCACACCCAGAAACACATGAGTGGAAGGCCATCTTTAAAAAGACGCCACGTCACTCGTGGAGCTCTTTTAGATTTGCTCTTTTAGGAAATAAAGTGTTGAAGCGCCCAGGAGAGGTCGCAGCGCGACTGCAGTTTGAAGAGCTGCAGCACGCCGTCCACACCAACAGTAGCACTGGACCAGCAACCCCCGCTGACACGCCGTAACACCAACACTGTCGGATGCTGTCTTGTAGACACTTGCTCGTTAACCAGACCAACTGAAATGCTCGGCTCCGAAGTGAAAAGCTGAATGTACGACTGCAGGCACTCTCCTTATATACCCGCGCTGCGGGGCGGTGTGCGCGACGCAAAGATCGCACGCCAACACTTATTGGCTTGTTTTGTTAACACTCTAAGGTAATTGGTCTCTCTAGCGAGGATCCCAATTTGTCAGTCACTGACGTAACGTCGAACGTGACTAACTGAAAGGGAACCTATGCTGCATGTTTAATTCAGTCCAGCTTTCACCTCAGCAATACATTTTGTTTAGAAATGTCTTGACATTGACTTATACTGAGTCGAGAAGGAGTTGTGTGATGGTCACGTGTCCCTCCCTCCAGCTCCTATTGGCTCAGTGGAAGTGTCAATCAGCTGCTCCTCCAGTGGGGCGATGAGGGTTTTCTGCTCCTCTGAGGGCGATCAGATCCTCTACAGCTGGACTCTGAATGGAGGTCCACTGATGGATGGAAACGCCAGCATTGATCTGGATGAGGGAACTGATGGAAACATCAGCTGCAGTGCGAAGAACCACGTCAGTCACAGACAGAAGACTGTTAGTGTCCAACCCTGTCCTGGTGAGCTTTTAATACATGAATGTCCACATATTTATAAAAACCACAGCGACAGCAACAAGAATAATGAAGATGAGCGAATCTCACAAAACCTGTCAAGAACATGTCCAAGTCACATTTCACCACAAAATCCTCTTATGCCAGAGTGCAATATTTCTGATGCGTATTTTGACGGACTGTGATGGTTTTATCTCCTCTAGGACTTTAGTTGATTCTTTAAAAAAAAATTCACCCTAAAAGCAAAAGAAATTATATTTTGCATGAAGAAAATGAGGGCTATTTTACAACCATTCATTTTATTTGCATTTTGAAAATTATAAACATTTCTACTCCCTAAAGTTTCTTTATTGTAATGTTCTAGAATTTACTTTTTTGTAATTGTTATTATTTACAGTGATACTTCATATTTTTCCCCTTTTTACATTTTCATCATATGTGCAAAATGGTTTAATTCCCCTAAAAACATTCAATGAAACATGATTGCAAAATATTACTAATTACAGTTAGTACAGTTAGTCAGATTTTGAACTGAAATGTGACCTGGGCGTGTCCTAGACAGGTTTCATGAGATTCAAACAAATTGATTCTCGTAATTGGCCACTTAATTCTTCAAAATAATTAATAATCTATGCAGCAGTTTATATTGAGAGAGAAAACAGGTGATTCTGCAACAATGTTTTATTACAGGACCAACTACCGCATCTGTGACCTCAACAGTAGAAAAGGATTCATTAGCTGGTATGAATCTCACCCATGTAGTATTACCTTTATCAATGTGTGCGTGTTGAGCAACAGCGAATGCAAATTACAAATAAACCTAATAATGATGACTTTGAGAGATCTGCAGGCTCTTCTGTAGTTAAATGTTTTATGAACTAATGTACTATGCTACTAATTGCATGGAGTTGTTATTCCTGTTGCTGTTGCAGTTGGTATGAATGAACTTTTCAAAGTAGTTTTAGAGTTTGATTTAAATGACCTCGTGTTTCTTTCTTCTATAGTCTTACATGTCTCTCTGATTGCTTTGGGCTGTGTTGCGCTGATCCTGTTTCTGCTGTTCATCACCGTATATCACATTTACAAGAAAAAACAGGTCAAGTCGACACCAGGTCAGTTCATTTCAAATCTGTAGTCCATATACTAACTGATAAAGGTTCAAATGTAGTACTTTTTGATGCAAGCAGCAATTACAGAGCCAGAAACATTGGTTAATACTTAGGCCTTCAAATCTTGAGAAGATTTGTGGGTTATTTGTTAAATGTTATGACAGTTTTAAAGACAGCTGCACCAAAGGCCAAAAGCATAAACATTAAGCATGTGATGAAGATGATCTGAGCTAATTTTGGTGGAAATTTGACTAATTTTCTGGGATTGACCAATGCAAATTGGTGTAAAATGGCAGAAAGTTTTTTGAAACAATACTGTTCTTCAAAACTCATGAATATAAATAAAAAATCTTTAAGCCAGATAATTCAATAATGATTTTTGACCATTACTTTTTTTGGCCAAGTACTCATGATCACAGTATGATTAGCAAAGTTACTTGATCAGAATAATTTTTTATGTGAATTGTTCAAAAAGGTGTTTTGATTTTACAAAAGTCTTTGTATGTTCACAATGTTCAAAAATTACAGCAACATGTGAAATGTGTGTAAAATATCCAGATGTTTGGTGTGTATTTGACACTGCATTTTGATAACACTGTTCATATATAATTACAATAATATAATAATAATAAATAATTATAATAAATAAAAGTGAAATTGTGCTTTGTTGGTATAATGTCTACTAGAATGTTAAAAAATGTTCAGTGTTAAATATTTTTAAATAGTTGTTTTGTAATTGATTTTTTCTTCGTAAAGCAAGACAAAACAGTAAAAAGCACATTTTGGCTATTTAATACGGTGACGCATTGCTGCCACACACATATTTTTTTTCCACTCAATTATGTCGTAATAACGAGATGTTATGTCATTTTAACAACATCTTTTCTCGTTAAAACTACATCTTTTCTCGTAATAATGAGATGTTTTCTCTTAAAACGACATCTTTTCTCGTAAAAACAAGATATTTTCTTGTTAAAACGACATCTTTTTTTCTCGTAATAACGACATATGTCATAAAAACGATATGTTTTCCGTTATTATAGATATATGGTAGGCTATATGCAGTGTTGGGAGTAACGCATTACAAAAGTAATAATATTACAGTAGTATATTACGTTTTGCTGTAACGCAGTAATATAACGCATTACTAATCAAATTTGGGTAATATTATTACTCGTTACAATCTCAGTAACGCAAGTTACAACAACATATTTTAACTCAAAATTAAGTGGTGAATTTACCAACACCGCAAAACAGCACCAGAGAAAAAAATCCCGCGGGTAAAATAGTTTGTCTATTTCCTGTTGCTGGAATTAGATGGTTGAGATGACTGCAGAGACGGATTCTACATTTGTGAGATGGACACACTCCTGTTATTTTCAGTTCATCGGAGAAAAGCATAAGAATGCATAGTCAGGTGCAATATGTGCAACACCAAACTCTCAACATGGAGAAATAGCACGAGTAAAACCTGGAAACACCTAGACTGGTGCCACTAACACTAAGCTATCGGAGAGAGAGCTGCGGGGTCGGAGAAGAGAAAAAGACGGCGGACGAGCGCAGACAAGCAACAAAAATTAAGTTTAACTAAAAATAAAATCTGTTTTTATTAAATCATAGTGTATATATAAAATGAATGAATATGCGAAATATTTGACTTAAATAGCCTAATTAACAGATTAACAAAACGAAAGGAAAAGACTGAGAGATAGGCTATGTTGCTGAGTTTGGTTCATATGCTATTTGTGTGGCGCGGCGCTCTACGAAAGTCCAGGGAAAGGAAACCGAGATGACAGAAATAAAGTAAACACATTGCAGTTTCAAATGATCTGTATGACCAAAAATAACAGAGTATTTTGACTCGTTTAGGCTATGATCAGATCAAAACAGTTATTTTTGAATAATCGACTCTGGGCTTAATATTTCTTTATTAGAATGACTGAAGTTTGATTTAACAACAAATCGAAATACGAACAAAAAGAAATAAAGAGATAGATAAATAAATACCATTAAATTCACGTCTCGCACACTTTAATGCCTTTTCAATGGAACATGCCTTCGAACTGGAATGATGTCTGAACTGGAAACAAACGACTGAAGTGATAAGAGACACATACAAAATGTGCAGAGCATTGGTATGCGAGGACTGGAATTAAGAACCACTGGTTTAGAAGATTAATCTCATAAACTAACTGAGCTAATAATTCTGGAGAGTAGTTAGCAGTTTAATAGTGATGGGTTGGTTCATGAACGATTCCATCTGTCATATGTCAAATGAACAAAAGATGCAAGAGGTGAGTTAATCATCTATGTTTTCTATCCTCTGCTGCATTATAATGACTTTCTAATTTGGAAAATTATCAAAGATGAGGTATGTAAATGTGTACATGGAATTTGGGTAATAAAATATAACATTTAACTAAAGAAAAAATCTTGGGGTGCATCAGGTACTCGCAGGCAAAATTATGGATGCTCCAGAAAGGGAACAAAATGTCAAAAAAGATGGACCCTGTTGCAAAACACACACACATCCATCCAAAAAAATCCACATCCAGGCACTCACATTGTAAGCAAAGTAAAAAGCCATTATTCTAAGACAGGGCTACATATTAAAAAGACACCAACGCGTATCAGCTCAAGCAGGCCCTCATCAGGGTGTTAGACAATATGGAGTAAGAAGTAGCTAAATAGATAGATTTGTGTGTGTGTGTGTTTTGCAACAGGATCCACCTAATCTTTTTTAATATTTTAACTGTTAAAATGAATGAAATAGTTCATTTTTTTGAACATGAATGAACTAGAGATCTGATGTTCCCATCACTAGTTTAACTTGCACTGGATTGAATCTTTTCATAATTTTAGTTTGCTACTTAAATAGTTTCACTCTTGAAAGCTCCATTTGTCAGTTACCAGTTTGCAGACTAGTAGTAATGAACAGCTATTCAGTGTGTGTAGAGACGTCCGGTAATGTCTTGCCCTGTCATCGTTTCTTCTTTCTGTGCAGAATTACTCCCGGCTGCTGATGTGGAATATGTTGAGATCCAACCGCAGAAGAAGAGGAAGGAGAGGAAAGAGAAGGAGGAAGAGGTTCAGTATGGCGAGGTGACGTTCACTCTAAACCTCTCAAGCGCTTACACACGGCCTCAGGAGGAGTGTATTTATTCTCAGGTACACAGATGCTAGTTTCACAACAACAGCTGTGTAAAATCACACTTTCCCTGGGAAATTAGCGCTTACATTCACTTATGTTTCACTTTGGGAGTTGTACAGTTTACATAAAGCACATATCTCTTTGCACATGCACTGTAAATTGTTTTGTCTGACATGTTAATGATGGTACTGTATGTTGATCTGCTGTGTTATGGCCTGTAGAGTGAGCATTAAAGTGATAGTTCACCCCAAAATTTAAATTACCCCATGATTTACTCATCCTCAAGCCATCCTAGGTGTATATGACTTTCCTCTTTCAGACAAATACAATTGGAGTTAAAAATGTCCTGGCTCTTCCAAGCTTTATAATGGCAGTGAATGGGTTTTGAGATTCCATCCATCATGAAAAGTACTCCGCACGGCTCCGGGGTTAATGAGGCCCTATGAAGCGAATCGATGTGTTTGTGTAAGAAAAATATGCACTTTTTTGGGCTTCAAAATCTCAACACCCATTCACTGCCGTTTTAAAGCTTGGAAGAGCCAGGAAATTTTTTAAAGGGGTCATATGATGCGATTTCAGTTTTTCCTTTCTCTTTGGATTGTTACAAGCTCTTGGTGCATAAAGAAGATCTGTAAAGTTGCAAAGACTAAAGTCTCAAATCCAAAGAGATATTCTTTATAAAAGTTAAGAGTCAACCACGCCTACCTAAAACGGTTAATGGTCGTTCTAACACGCCCCCACATGTCTATACGTCACGATGTGGGAAGATTTGCATAACGCCGCACAAAGAAAGAAGGTGTAACTTTTATTCTCGCTGTAGTATTGTTCCGAGTAAATGATGAGGTAATTTTCATTTTTGGGTAAACGATCCCTTTAAAATACTGTATGTGTCTGGGCTGAACCGTGAAAGCTTGAGTATGCAAGACTATGAAAAAAAAGGAAACCAAATGCTTGTTATTTTCCTTCAGACAAGCACTACTGTTTTTAGTGCTTCTCAATGTGTTCTGCTGGCAGTTATGATGATATGATGGCGAGAAAAGGCTTAAATGTGACCCTGGACCACAAAACTAGTCTTAAGTCGCTGGGGTATATTTGTAGCAATAGCCAAAAATACATTGTATGGGTCAAAATTATTGATTTTTCTTTTCTGCCAAAAATCATTAGGATATTAAGTAAAGATCATGTTCCATGAAGATATTTTGTAAATTTCCTACCGTAAATATATCAAAACTTAATTTTTGATTAGTAATATACATTGCTAAGAACTTCATTTGGACAACTTTAAAAGCGATTTTCTCAATATTTAGATTTTTTTTGCACCCTCAGATTCCAGATTTTCAAATAGTTGTATCTTGGCCAAATATTGTCCTATATCCTAACAAACCATACATCAATGGAAAGCTTATTTATTCAGCTTTCAGATGGTTTATAAATCTCAATTTTAAAAAAATTGACACTTATGACTGGTTTTGTGGTCCAGGGTCACAAATGAAAGTCAGCTTTTAATCATGAATAACAAGGAGGTGATCGATGTGCACGAGTGTCATGAAAACACAGCAATCGGGTTATTTTAAATTATTAAAACATTTCAAAGCAATTGAAATTTGGAAAATCTAAGCTTTGCTAGATTGAGTTTTAGCAGAATTTAACAGCGATATGAGAGAGTCTGTGTGTTAAAACATGTCAAACATCTGCGTTTGGCCGTCTGGATTGAGTTGAAGCAGTCAGTTTTATTTAAATGGCACACATTGTTTCAAAACGTTTACAGAATGTTTCTGTTTACAGAAAAATATTGCTGTAATAATATCTTCAAGTTCTTCAAGTACAGGAAATGGCCTGAAAAAGGCCTGATGATATCTAGAGTTTCGCTCACACTGACAGGTTAAACTGCTTTAAAGTTTTGTAAAGTCCTTACTAGTCCTGCTAGTAAACAGTGTTGATCCTACCGGCTAAACTAGTTCAGTGTTCAGCTCCCAGATAAAAACTTTATGGCTTGAATTCACAGTAAATAGCATCTAAAAGCGTTTGCCAAAGGCATAAATATAAATGCACTTAATTTTTGTTGCATCTTTGTTGCTTCTATTAAAAATTACATTTAATTTAGTTAATTATTGCCAGCTCTATATTGTTGGATATACTGTAGAAGTATATACAACTTTATGTGCATATACTCACATAAAGCGATATATACCATATAGCAAATCTTAACTGCTTTATATAGTTCCAAAACGTTATCTATATTATCACACAGCTCTATATAAAATGTTAGATACAGTACTGTATATAAGTATGTCTAGCTTTAGCATGCATACAGTATACTTTAACTAAAATTAAAACAAATTTATATTATTGGCCAGGTCTTTATATAAAGTTGGATATATAGCAAACTTTATTTCCATACATACTGTACAGTACATAAAGGGATTCATACTATATAGCAAATCTCCACTGTTTTATTGTTTATATCGTCACAAAATGTAACTATATTATCATTCAGTTCTAATCTGATAAAAGTGACATGATGATATTAAGCTATTAAAAACATTAACATCATGACTTTCTGTAAAGCTGCTTTGAAACAAAGTGTAAGGTCAAAAGCGCTATGTAAATAAAATCGACTTAATAATTTAGGCTATTAATGTGAATATTAATATTAATCTTAATCTCATTTGATCCTCATTTATTGTTTTCCATGCTGAATGAAAGTATGTTTTTCAGTGTGCAAGAGTTCTGTTACATGTTTATAATTATGAGTTTGATTAAACCATTATTTTGGCCGAAACCATTGTTTTTGGTTAACACTTTTTAATGAGTTTTTAAACTTTTGAAATGGTAGATTGGGAGATCTTAGTCTGTTGTCCGAGGTGGTTTGCTGATCATATCATGTGACTTCCTGCGTGTGAAAGGAAGCATCTCATGCCTTCTCAGTGCAAAAGGTGAATGCTGCGGGCATGTATGTCTCTCTCATGCATCACAGTGTGTAAATAAATAATCATTTTTAAACATATTCAGTTTTGTTGTTAATTTATTTACATCATGTACCCATTTTGGTGGCCGCATCATATACGTAAAGCATATTAAATGCAATTGAAATAGTCTACTTTAATGTTTTAGATAACGTTTGAGAAAATAAAATGTTCCATCATTAATCAGCAGCGTAACAGATGCCACCATGATTCTGGTTCTAAAGAAGCCTATACAAACTATTGTTAAACTGAATGACATTTTTCAAATGAGAAATTTTGCCTTTAGGAAACTAGCTGTATTTATTTTATTTTATTTTTTACATTTTTTAGTTGTTTTAGTTTCAGTTTTCTAATAACCCCCTAAAGAGTAATATCTTTTGCAAGGAGTAATTTTGAGCATGCTTTTGCTGTGAGGTTACAGAGATGGAGATGCTGCTGCTGCATCTTCATCTTCTTCCTCCTTCAGCAGTGTCACTTTACCACAACCAGATGGCTAATGATTAACACACACACACAGAATAACGTCCTGTTGTTATCTGCACGGCTGTAAACGGACTTTCACGAGAAAATGGGAAAGGAAATAAAGTCCTGTCGGGATGTTTAGAAGAATTCATTCACGTGACCAAATGAGCGTTTTATTTTCTGAAGCTTTGTTTTATTCTCCTGTTTTCAGTGTGCTTTTTCACGCTCATCAAGATAAGTGTAAAATAGTGTGAACTGGTTCTACTATCTATAAAGATACTAGCGTGAAACAAGATAGTAATCTCTGTATTTGACGGATGAGATGCTGCACTAATAGGCTGAATATGTTCATAACAGCAAGAAACTGAAGTGCAGATCTATGTTTAAAGCGTGAGCCGTACAGATGCATTTATGTGGATGTATGTCATGCACACTGACTCATTTACAGTTTTTCTTCTCTGTTTTATCTGAAACCCAGACATGTGTTTGCATGTCTGTCAGCTGTGCTTAAAGGGATGGTTCGGCCAAAAATAAAATGATCTGTCATCACTTTCTCACCATTTTCAGTATTATTTTGGTAAATATTTTACTCGAATGCTCTTGAAACTGAATTCTATCTCAGTACTCAATTATGTTTCTGAGGCAAAATCACACTTTTATTATTCCTTAATAATTAACTTTTTTGAGCTCCCACAAATTTTACTTTCACTTAAAACAGCCAATGAAATGTATTTGTGTAAAATATAACATTATTGATTGTATAACCAAAACAGTTGAAACACTCTTCAAAATATCTCATTTGTGTTCCACAGAAGAATAATATAATTATTTTGTGTTGTCAGAGGCAAAAATCCCACTTTTATTATTCCATATAATTTCCTTTAAATTCTTTTGAACTTCACCAAATTTTACTTTTAATTAAAACAAACATAATAGGACATTATTGAATTTGTTTTTTTTTACGTCACAACAGTTTTTGACCACAAGCAGTTTGTAGAACTGTAGAACTTAATTTTTTTCTGTGAAAATTTACATTTATATTGTAGATCATTTTAAAAAGGTCCCAGTTTTCTTTTGGACCCCATTGACTTTCATTGTATGAACCAAAACAGTTTTTGTATATATCATATCTCAGTTGTGTTCCACAAAAGAATACATTTTGTATTATTTGTTGAATATCTTACTTAAATACCCACAACCGAAGACTAATTTAGTACTTGATTATGATTATGTCAAAAGCAAAATCACACTTGTATTATTCTATAATAATTTCCTTATACTTTTTTGAGCTCCTCAAAATTTAACTTTCACTTAAAATTGCCAATAAACTTTGTGCAAAATATAACAAAGTAATTGATCCTTACATAACAACAGTTTTTGACCTCTCAGTGTTTTTTTTTGGACCCCATTGACTTTCATTGTATGAACAAAAACAACTGAAACATTCTTTCTTGTATACAACAGAAGGAAGAATAATAGTATTATTTTGTTGAATATCTTACTTAAAGGGATAGTTCACCCAAAAATAAAAATTACCCCATAATTTACTCACCCTCAAGCCATCCTAGGTGTATATGTCTTTACAAAAGTAGCGAATCAATGCGTTTTTATAAGAAAAATATCCATTTAAAAAAAATTATAAACAGTAATTGTTAGATTCCGCTAACTGTTGTACGCCTCACACTCGTCTCACAATAGAACGCCGTTCCGGCGGGAGACGTAGGCGTAGCGTAAGCATATACATATCTATGAGCATAAGGTCCGGTGAGAATATGCTAGTCTCGCAAGAACCGACGTTTGTTTACAGGAGCAAAGGAAGCAAAGTTTCCATACTTTAGCAAAGGAAAACCAGTCTCCTCTCGGCTTATATCAAAATCCTCCGACATTTTTCTTTACAAATCTTCGTTTTGTACTTCTAATTCGTGACCGGTGTTTTGTTGTGCTCTCTCCTCTGCGCTTCCTCATTCGTCATTTCTCACCGGACCTTACACTACGCTTTCATCATCTGCCTGAATGAACGCGCGAGTTAGCGCAAGCTAGAAATTACGGCTTGTAAAGTTTTAAATATGGATATTTTTCTTACAAAAACGCATTGATTCGCTTCAGGAGGCCTTTATTCACCCCCGGAGCCGTGTGAGGCACTTTTTATGATGGATGGATGCACTTTATTTGACGTATTTTGGACTGTTGAAAAATAACACCCATTCACTGCCATTATAAAGCTTGAAAGAGCCAGGACGTTTTTAAATATAACTCAGATTGGATTCGTCTGAAAGACGAAAGTCATTTACACCTAGGATGACTTGAGGCCGAGTAAATTATGGGGTAATTTTTTATTTTTGGGTGAGCTATCCCTTTAAGTACTCAAAACCGAAGGCTAATTTAGTACTCGATTATGTTTCGGAGGTAAAATCACGCTTTTATTTTTCTTTAAACAGCCAATGAAATTAATTTCAGTGTAAAATATAATAGGACGTAATTGAATTACAGTAAAGCAGTTTTGTTTATAAGTATTGCTGAAGATGGAACTATATTTGACTTAAGTGTGACTTTTGACACACATTTTGACCCGGTCCTTAAACTCAAACGTCTCAGTACTTTTGACACAGGAACGCTCCTTCAGATGAGGGTCAATGGTGACATTGTGAAACCGATCAAATATTAACAGTTCAAACGTGTGATCTTGAAGGACATGAGATGAACGTTATGGAATTAGGTCTTTATTGGCTCTTTAATTGACATGAATCATCTGACTGAGCTGCAAAAACAGGCTCCACCCGTCCCATCCGATGACGTCCATGCGGCCCACAGCTTCTGCTCGACCTCTGGCTTCTCTGTCAATGATTGACTTCGCTGAATACATGCTCACCTCTTCAGCTTCTGTTTTTATCAATAAGCTGTGTTTGTTTCCTTGTGTTATCAAGACTTATGATCCACGCGGCTCATTGTGATCGGTAAACACTCACACGCCAACTGGTTTCCACCCTCTCAAAGTACAGCGTGATTTAGAGATGGTCGTTGTATGATTTAGTTAAATCTGATCAACATGTCAAGGCCATTTTTTTTAATTTGAAAAATAGGAACATTAAGGATGTTTTCCAAATAAAAAAAAATAAAAAAACAAGGTAACACTTTTATTAACACTTTTTTAATGCATTAATTATGGCTTGTAATGCAGCTTGTAATGCACTGTATGATCCTATGAATAATTGTAACCACCATAGTAATGCATTATAACGCTTATCTAATCATAGCTAGATCTTTAGAAAGTATAATGCATAAAACACATGATAAACAAGGAGTCTGCAAATATGCATTTCAATTCTGGTCATAATTACTTATGAAATTATATAATGCATTATAATGTAAAATATTAATACCTTTATAATTGCATATTTGAAAGCTTCAAGTGTTACCAAACTCTGTAATGTGCAAAAATTTGATTTTAATAAAAATATAAATTGTGAAGTATTTATACACCATTATTATTACATTTATGCTGACAAAAAAAGGTATTTAAAAATAGTTTATGTAAAAAAAATTTACCTAATATAATGAGAATCGTCATTGAGAATAATGGCAATTACAAAAAACTCATAATAAATAGTAATAATTCTCTTTACAATAAAGGGAATTTGGAAGAAAATGTGCTTAATTGTTGTGAAAATAATGTCAAAATGAAAAAAAAAAAAAAGATTATTCTTGAGATTCTGAATGTCAGCAATTTTACGTTCTCCTCAAATATTATCTGTTTATTAAAATTATGCTCTTTTTACAAATGAACGATTACACAGAGGCACCAGTTGACTCTCTTTAAAAAAAAGAAGTCATTTTTCCATCATCCAGTAGATGTAAAATATTTTACATAGTAAAGCAAAGCAGTAGTGATACAAATAGTCATCAAATCATCACCAGTAGTTAGTGAGGTCATATCAAAAGCAGTACAGAAATGAAGAAAGCATTATTCAACATACTCTGAGATCATAATTTTTTACAAAAATTGAAATACTGTGCATGTTATTCACAATAAAACGTGTTTGCGTGTCATTCGTGTAGTGCAATATGAACGCTCCGCTCAGCGTCACTGAAACCGTGTAAACATGTACTGTTTATCCTTCTGTCTGGAAGAGTTTTCAGTATTCCTCTTTGATGCTGGTCGATATATTGTCTGTCATCAAGCCGTTATTGGTGCTGCTGACCATGGCGGTGTTTGCGTGGCCGGATGCGCTGACCGGTGTGAATGTGGAGCTCTGCTCAGTCTGCTGGAGTCGCTTCTTGTTTATTTTCCTTTCTTTGGCTCGTCTGTTTTGAAACCAGATCTTCACCTGTGAACCACAGTGTCAAAATTATTTGCCAGATTAAACAAACGATGAGGCTTCTAGCTGTACCAGACACATCCTGTGTCTCATGCATAAAATTTACATATTTCAAACAAATGTATTAGTGAATTTTAATGATGCTGAAATTTCAGCTTTGCATTCTGAGCTATTTTTGCAATAATTTGTTGCAACTGGTTACAATTGTGTGTGTGTGTGTGTATATATATATTAGTGCCGTCAAACAATTAATCGTGATTAATCGCATCCAAAATAAAGGTTTTTATTTACATAATATATCTGTGTGTACTGTGTATATTTATTATGTATATATAAATACACACATACAGTATATATTTTGAAAATATTTGCATTTATTTACATGTATATATTTATATTCATATAATTTATATTATATATTAATATATTTAATATATAAACGTAACATATTTTTCTTAAATATATACATGCATGGGTGTGTATTTATATATACATAATTAATATACACAG